GTAAAGGACTTTGGCCAAAGCTGCCTGCGTTAAACTAAGGAAGTGGCTTCTATATTATTTGTTTGCCGTGAACTATGTCCTGGGCTAAAAGAATCATTCTTGAGGGGGATTTAGGGGAAGCCAAGGGCACTGTAATCATACATCAGGCAATAGATCATCAGAGTTCCTGCCCGGGGGGGTTGGCACAAGAGGAAATAGATGCACAACACTTCCTTTGGTAAGAAAGTAGCAGCAGTTGATTTTGATTTTTACTTTATTTTAATTAGTCTTTTTCCTGGCCCCTTATTTAGGTTTTCTAAAAAATGATGTAAAAAGATATAAAATAAAAAAAAAAAGAAAAAGAAAGTAGCAGCAGGCTAGAAATGCAGAGTGGAGGAGAGAGTAAGGGCTGATTGCACTGAAAGCAGAATAGACGTTCACTTTGCACTGTTTTGAGGAAGCGCAGTGCTGGGGAGGGTATGCTCTGGAACCAGAGTGCCTGGTTTCAAATTGTGGTTCCATCACTTACCAGTGGTGTCGTAAAATGAGCTATGACATACCAAGTTCTCAAAACAGGATACATAATCAAAGTTTGATAAGTATTAGTCATTTTTATTGTTATCACCATTATTGTTCATTGTTATCCTTTCTGCTACCACCCTGGTCCATGCCACCATCCTCTCGCACCTGGACTTATTAAAAGACCTCCTCATTGGTCTTCTCACATCTATTGTTAAGTGATCTGCTATTTGTTCTCTACCCAGCACATAGGGTAATCCTTTAAAACTAGAATCTCATCAAGATTACTTAAAATCTTTCAATAATTCCCTCTTCACTTATGATTTTAGTCTTTATGGTAAAAACTAAAATGGGATAGATTCCAAGGAATTTTTCTGTAGCCTGAGTTTATGCTGACCTTTGCAGTTCAGCCTCATTGTCTTTCTTTTGAGAGCCCCAAGTGTGCCAACGTTTGCCCACCCCACCTGACTCTTGTAGTAATATATTTTTGAGGATCAGTGCTTTTTCCTTATCCTAACATTGCCCTCCAGGTGAAAGGGTCTCACCTGGGGTGACCATTCTTTCTCTACTCCTTTACTCATGCTGCCCATAGGAGGTGGAGCTATTTATGTATGTGTCAGTGAATATTTGGGCCTCCTCAACTTGTTTCTTGGGGGACCTTCCTGCAGGGAATGGTGACCCCCTAGGAACAGGCTCTTTCCCACTACGTGTCTGAACTGTTAATAACTGTTAGTAAGCCTGCCCCATCATGGGCCTGTTAACTGGCACAACTGGCTAACAAACTAAAGCTGTGACTTCCACTTGGTTTCTATCAGCTCCAGGTGCTACTTTCATCTTCTTTCCTCTTTCTTCCTCCCTTCTTCCCCTGGCTTCTCAAACTCTTCTTTTTTCACTGCATTGGGGTTATTCTCATGTTCCATGCTGGAAATCTAGTGTCAAGAGGATAGTGGCAAATATCTTCGGTGTTGTGTTATGGAATGTGTTGTACAAGAATCTGACTGGAAACCAATAGAATGACTCAATGAAATGGTTGAATATTAACATGCCTGATAGAAGGTCTTACCAATACTCACATTCTTGAACCTTGGCTGGTTGGGGGCGGAGGGGGTGGTGGTGGTGGTGGCAGTGGAAACATTTTTTCCTTTTGATTGAAAAACAAAGGAAGGTAAATGGGCCGAGAGATTGTCCAGAAGGGGGAGCCCTTGTTCCTTGTTTCCAATCATTTGTGTTTCCATAATTGTGAGGGTTCACATTGTCTGTGACTGTTAACAACAGAGCCCAAAGAACAAACACAAGCATTTCTATATGTCACGTTAAGCAAATAGGCATTATTTGGTACAGTCCTCATTTGGCATTAGTTATCATTTGGCCCCACACAAGTGGTACTTCACCTATGTGGAATTTGATTTTGTATGAGAGTTTTGTTTTTTTTTTAAAGATTTTATTTATGCATACAAGAGCTGGGGTACAGAGATGCGATGGGGCGGGGAGAGGATTCACCAGAGACAGAGTGGGGAACAGAACAGGCAGGCTGATGAAATACACTGCTGAGGGGAGAAGCGGGCAAGACAGGAGAGGTCTGCTTTGCCTTGTGGGTTGCTCTCCCTGGCTGGCCAGCAATCGAACTTGTGCTGCAGAGGCTGTGGATTGCTTCATAGTGTGGTGATTAACCCCTTGTGCCACCAGGGAGGCCCCTGTATGAGAGATTCTTGCATTTTTTTTTTTTTAAAGATTTATTTATTTATTTATACAAGCACTGGGTACAGTCAGAAGTGCGGGAGGGTGAGAGAATTCACCAGAGCCAGAGCAGGGAGCAGAGCAGGCAGAAGGACCGAAGTACACTGCTGAGGGGAGCAGCGGGCGGCAGGAGAGGTCTGTGCGCCATGTGGGACCCTCCTCCGGTGGCGGAGGAGCAGCCGGGGATCGAACCGGCGCTGCAGAGGCTGTGGGCAGCTTCGCAACCCAGCGCTCAGCTGCTGCGCCGCCGGGAGGCCCTCTTGTGATGTTGCTTTGAAAGTCCCGACACATGTTTTATCCCATTTTGGTTTTAACCTAGGCGGAAAAGATAAAACAGAATTAGGAATATGTGATTGCTTTATTTAACTGCTTTTTGTTCTTAGCTTTCTCTCACTTTTTCTCCAAGTTGCTTCTTAAGAAAAATGTGTTGTGACCTCACTGCTCACAGTCTTTCTTCCTATCCCAGATCTTGAATAGATAAATTGTTGTGGAAGTTCTCAGCATCAGCTGCAGAGCGGTTCCAGCACACAGTTAGGTATAGTACCTCAAACCACCTGATCTGGAAATGCTTTTCCTGATATCTCTCTTCCTTTCCCAATGATTGTTGGGAAATGTCAAAAATGACCACTTCACAGATGGCTATTTTTTTCATAACTGGTGTGGTGATTACTAGGAGCTAGTGTAGTTTCACTTACAACAAGTCACACCAACTAACCCTCAGTTTTAAAATATTAGTGAATGGAAATTTCCTGGCCATGTTGATTATGAATTTCAACAAGACCTGACACTCCAAATTTCTCATGCTACCTTTGTGTGAAAGATAAAGTTAAGCTTCATAAGAGTGTAGTTATGTGGATTTACATATTTAATATGATTTATATAAACACCAGAAAAAGGTGTAAACATTAACCTGTGGTGAGGGCTCTAGTAGTTTGCTCTAGTTTTATCTCTTTAATTAAAAAAATAAGGTCTGGCTCTGTCCTTTTAGTGTATTTGCTAAAGACTTTGGAAGAATATAATAAAAGGCATGTATTTGAAATTTTATAACACAAAACTGGTAGGAATATTTAATATTTTAGAATAGCATATTCAAAATTAATTTTTTAAAAATTTAGTCTGGTGTAATAGGCATATATGAAAGATCTTACAAGTCAATATTAAAAAAAATCAGTTATAAATGTTTAGGAAGGAGACACTGAATTGAATAGTAATATAAGAAAAAATGATCTATGGATTTTCAGTTAATCAAGACTCAATATAAAAATGTTTTACAATTGGAGTCTCCCTGGTGGCGCAAGGGGATAAGCACAGCACTATGAAGCTATCCACAGCCTCTGCAGCACGAGTTCAGTCATCCCCAGCTGGCCAAGGAGCTACCCACAAGGTGCAGCAGACCTCTCCTGTTTCACCTGCTGCTCCCCTCAGCAGTGTATTTCAGTCAGTCCGACTGTTCTGTTCGCCACTCTGTCTCTGGTGAATCCTCTCACCCCTCTCCCACACCTCTGGCCTGTACCCCAGTTCTTGTATGCATAAATAAATAAATCTTTTTAAAAATGTGATACAGGGCCTCCCCTGGTGGCACAGCGGCTGAGCTCTGGGCTGCCAAGCTGCCCGCAGCCTCTGCAGCGCCAGTTCAATCCCCAGGCACCGGGACGGTTCCACATGGCGCGCAGACCTCTCCTGACTTGCCCGCTGCTCCCCTCAGCAGTGTGCTTCGGTCCTTCTGCCTGCTCTGCTCCCCGCTCTGGCTCTGGTGAATTCTCTCACCCTCCCGCGCTTCCGACTGTACCCAGTGCTTGTATAAATAAATAAATAAATAAATAAATAAATAAATAAATAAATAAATAAATAAATCTTAAAAAAAAAAGTGATAGAGTTGCCAAAATGTTAATGAAATCTTAGATCATTTTAAGTATGTGTGTGTGTGTGTGTGTGTGTGTGTGTGTACACACACACAAACTGTTTTAGTGAGATACAGAAAAATTGGGATGGTTCCAAAGAGGCTGACCTTGAAGCGATGTCTATAAAATATGTCATGGAGAATGAGGGTGCTTGGAATCTCTGGATTAGAGTAGAAAAGATTTATGGGAGTTCTGTGAGTTCTATAATGTCTTTTAACATTTCAAGATTGCCAAGATGGAAGGGGCTTATACTTGACCTCGGTGGTCCCATGGATGGAATTTGTTGGATGACAAAAGTTATAGGATGACATTTCAATTTCTTATAATGAAGGCCTTTCTAGCAATTTTCATTCTGAAATGGAAAAGGGCTACCTTTGGAGGTGGTTAGTTTCTCATTAATAAGAACTACTAAAACAGGCTTAGAAGCTCCTTGTCAGAGTTACTAAAGTGTCATGCTGTAGGAAGGTGGGCTAGATGATCTCCAAAGTTCCTTCTGACCTCATAGGCCTCCACATGACTTCAATGTCTGCATAGAGTGGATGCATAAGAAGTAACTGCCAAATAAATGAATGCATAAAAATAAAGATATCTCAGATAACAACAACTCAGGCAGATTTTTGCACTTGATACATTTTTTATTCATGGGTGATTTTATAGCATTGAATAGTACTTAATCTCAGGAGCATGTCATCTTGGGAAAAAGAAAGACCTTGGGGTTGGGCCACACAGTTTTAAATTTCGTAGATAACTGGCTTATCTTTCTTGCTCTGTCATAACTCATACTCAGCCTTATAAGTTCTAGAGCTATTTCTGATAATGAACAATGCCTTGCCATAAACTAACATGATGCCATTTCTTTTTCAGGATAATTGTATCCACACATCCAAGTACAGCATTCTTACCTTCTTGCCAATTAATTTGTTTGAACAGTTCCAAAGAGTGGCAAATGCCTACTTCCTTGTCCTTCTGATTTTACAGGTAATATTTAGGTTGTTCCTTATGTGTTTGTTGAAAGTATTAATATACTTAGAATAAGTAAGTTAATTCTCTTAGCTAAATGTTCATGATGAGGTAAAGCCATCCTTATGAGATTTTTAATGTTATTATTGCTGCTTCCACAAATATGGTTGGAAAAGGTAAAAACTAGTACATTCATCATTCGAGACACTGAGGTCATTTCAAAATGCAACCTTGTACTTTGTTTGAACCAAACCAGAGCCTCATGATTGTTGTTCATTATTTCCCTCCTTGCCTTACTCCCCTCATATAGACAACATTCATTGCATAAGTGGAGACAGAGTCTAGCTTGGTAGTAGTTTTTGGAACTCATTTTAGCAAATTTCAGTTGCATTTGAGAATGATAACACATTTGACATATATATGTATATATATAAAAGTAAATAATAAGTTCTATATGCTATATGTTATTTCACTGTAGAGAGACTATTTTTCAGTCCTGAGTGTTAAATGGTAGTTATTAACCATTCTTTTGCCTTCCATCTAACTGAAATTTGAGCTTTTACTTATATTTTAGGAAAGAAAAGGTGGGAATTAAAAAAATATACATCATATAAACAGTTCATGTTAGTTATCTATCTAGTACCTAGAGTGCTCTAATCAGAACGGATGCAGAATGTGCTGGGTTCTATGTTAATTATAGAAGGTAGGAATGTGAGTTAGATTGTGTAGTCTAGAATAATAACTATTTTTAATTGAAAAATTGTATAAAGAATTATTTGGCTTTAAGTGGCAGGAAGATAAATTATTTTAAGCAAAAGTGTATATAGCCAGGAGTATATTATATTCATGTGTGACTGGATTCATGGGAAAACTGTTTCATCAGGATGTGAAAAAAATTGGAAGATATATTTCCTAACTTTAAAAGCTCTAAATATTTTAAAATGTCTGTTTCAGCTGATTCCAGAAATCTCCTCCTTGAGCTGGTTTACTACCATTGTGCCTTTGGTCCTGGTGATTACTATGACAGCTGTCAAAGATGCCACAGATGACTACGTGAGTTTTTATTTACTTTGATTCTTCTTGAGGCCTCAATTTCAACTCTGATCTCTCAGAAACATAAATAGAGATCCATTTGGAAATTTTGCATGAAGTTCTTTTTGCCAGTGCCATGTATAACTCTTTTTCTATTTGCTCAATGATTAATACATGTACTAGAACCAGAGGCCTTTTGTGATAAAAGCAAGAGATTTTCAATAACTTGACTCATTTCCTTATTTTACAGATGAGGAAACTAAGGCCTATAAAAAACTAATGATTTCCTAGTGATCATATAACCAATTAGTGGTAGGTGCAGAGACAGAAAATAAACCTGCTTCCATACAGCAAGGCATTATCTATCCTATATCATGTATCTTTGTCTAAATACTGCAAAAATCACACACTTAGATCATTTATCAGGGGTTAGAAAATCAAATTATTTCAAAAATCAGACAAGTAATATAAGTAAATGAGATATAATATGATAGAGGGGTTTGAAGTCTGCATAATTCAAAGAAGGGCATTCAAATACAAAGATTTAAAGCATAATCGTGGCTAAAGCAAATATTCCAAATCTACACAAGTTATATTCTTACCCTGGATAACTGTATGAGCTCTAACCTCAATAATTATCTATATGCCAGGAACTTACACGTTAATACTGCCAGCCTAAGCCTCTCGTCTGAACTCATACCCATATTCTATATTGTCTACTTTTTTTAAAAAAAGATTTTATTTATTTATACAAGATCTGGGGTACAGGTCAGAGGTACGAGAGGGTGAGAGGATTCACCAGAGACAGAGTGTGGAGCAGATTTTTTTTTTTAAGGTTTATTTATTTATACAAACACTGGGTAAAGTCAGAAGCACAGGAGGGTGAGAGAATTCACTAGAGCCAGAGCAGGGTACAGAACAGGCAGACTGACGAAATACACTGCTGAGGGGAGCAGCGGGCATGGCAGGAGAGGTCTGTCACGCCATGTGGGACCCTCGCCGGTGGCCAGGGATTGAACCAGCACTGCTCAGGCTTAGGGCAGCTTCACAGCCCAGCGCTCAACCTCTGCACCGCCTGGGGAGGCCCTAGATGATGTCACTTTAAAGTGTCAGCTTGGGGTGGAATCTACCTATTACTGTGAGGTTGCCATTGTTCATGGTGCTTCGGAGCTCTTATAAAATTGCCTTCATGATCAGTGTACAAGTTACAGCAGAAAGCCAATCTCCTGATGTGTGTTCACATAGCTTTGAAACAAATGCCATTTCTCAACCCCTAAAAAAATGTATTCACTGTACCTGCTTTCCTAGAGAAGCATTTATATTTTCAAACATAAGATACCCCTTCAAGTCCATATAGAAAAAAAATTGCTAAACCTTTAAAGAATAAAAGATAAAAGAATAACAAATAAAGAATATTCTAAAGAATGGACTATATGGCCCAAAGGTAATTCTAGGACAAGAACTTTTGACAATGCTTTGAGTAAGGTCTCCTTTGGAGTAAATGTGTGACCTATTCTCATTATTATTATTATTTTTTTTAAAGAGGCAAGCTTCATTTATTTATTATTTATTTATTTATACAAGCACTGGGCACAGTCAGAAGCGCGGGAGGGTGAGAGAATTCACCAGAGCCAGAGTGGGGAGCAGAGAAGGCAGAAGGACCGAAGTACACTGCTGAGGGGAGCAGCGGACGGCAGGAGAGGTCTGCACGCCATGTGGGACCCTCTTCTGCTGTCCGGGGAGCAGCCGGGGATCGAACCGGTGCCGCAGAGGCTGCGGGCATCTTCGCAACCCAGCGCTCAACTGCTGCACCACTGGGGAGGCCCCTATTCTCATTATTTGATCTTTCAGGAGAATAGTACTCATTAGATGCATGAGTTGCTACACTTTGACTTTAAGGGTCTTACTCGCTATAGTTACATCTCATAGAAGAGTAAATTGGTAGGGTAGAAAGAAATGGGCTTTGGAGAAAAATGCCTTATTCTTTCCTGTTCTAGCAGTGTGACTTGAGACAAACCATTTCTTTGAACTTTTTCCTGTATGTGTAATGTAGCCGATGATATTAGCACTGTTGGGAGGACAACATGAGATGCTGTATGTAGAGTACCTGGCACAGTTCCTGGCTCACTAGGGTATGCCAGCAGTGCTGGTGCTCTCTCTCCTTCCTGTCCTGGTGAAATTCCCTTCTAAGCCTTCATATCTATTTCTAATGTAGAAACTGTCAAAAAGAGTCAGTCTAGATGAGACTACCATTTCTAGTCTTCCCAGACTCCATCAGTCAAGTATCAAGACCCCTTAGCAAAGCCTGAGCAGAAGTGGAATTGAGTCCATCTTGAGGCTCAGATGGTGGGCTAAGCTTTCAGAGGATGATTTTATGGGTCCTTTCCTGTGATGCCCTGCTACTTAATTTAGGAGGTTCTTTATTACGTCAGAAACAGATGTGAATAAATACTAATCTCCTATTGTCTTTACCGTGGTTAATGCTTAAGCATGCTTTTATTTTTGTGATATTATGTGCTTGTCCAACAACCAGATATCTTAGTCAGGGTCTTGGCAGGAAAAAGATGTCACCTTGAAATTGGGGACGAGTGAAGAAAAAAGAATAATGAAGGGGCCATTTACAAAGGATGTGGGAATGAGAAAAAGCATACCCTGCTAGCCACAAGGGTGGCAAGACTACTTCTAGGCCTTGAGTGGCAAAGGACAGAAGTGATTTTCAGTCCTGGAGATGCAGTTGAGAGCTGCACATCAGCCAGAGCTATCTGTGTAGGAAGAATATTCACTGCTGTCCCAACTTGAAGGAAACCAGGGAATAAATGCTTCATTTTATTCCCTTTGGATTTCCTGTTCTTCTTCCTGTACCACTTGTTGGCCAAGACCCACCAGAAACCAGAGTGAAGGACTATGTGATTAGTTTCCCCAGGCACAGGGCACAGTGGAGAAAGAGGGGTGTATATATGGAGGTGCAAATAGAGAATAACCAGCACTCCTATCAAATTATGCACTCAAATAAAATAATCTTTCCATTTCCATTGTTCTATTGGTGGGGAGAAGTTGCATGCCTATGATGGACCGACAATATAAGTCCTCTACTGATATTATAAAAACTCTTTTCATGTGAAGAGATGCTAAGTGTTGGTGCTTTTATGTTTTTCCTGGTGTTATCATGAACTTTACACCTGGCAGTGAGAGTAACTGTGTGCACTGGGTATAGCATAACAGAAAAATTGGGATAGGTTTGGGAAAGATGTTGAAAAAGGGGAGGACTGGTGGACACATTTTATATATTAGGTTGTTGATAAAATGCTTTGGAGTATTTTTAAAAAGGGAAAAAGCACTGATCCTGATGATTGTAATCCATGAAATCAAAGTTTCATTTTGCCTGATAATATCCCATTCATCTGTGCATTTAGACTAATTGGCTGAAACAATGCCTTATCTTTACTTTAGTCTATTTCTGTCTGATCTTGCTAGTTCATGTGGAAAGTGAATGATGTTTATTATGGATTTAGTAGAGGTCCATGACATTTGGATTTTTCTAAGCAATATAAGATGTTTACATTGAAATATATAGTAAGAAATAAGGTCACTTGGCCATAAAGACACACAAATCCACACCAAATGTGTGTTGGTCTGTATTTTGATTTTTGTTTTAAATGCTCGGCATGTCATACGATCACTGTTAACAATTACAATTGCTGGAGAATAAAAATACATGTTGTTACTAGTAATTTCTTGACGTCAAAGAAATCCATAAAACAGAATGAATGATGTTCCAATAAAGTATTGAGCACATATGTGTGAGAAATGGAAGCTCCTAGTCTTTATTGAAGACATCGCTGTTAATATATGGCTTCCTTACAATAAGCTGCAGAATGAAGAGCGTGTTGTCTTCTTAGAAGCAAATAGGGTGTATGGAAAGAAGAGCATGTGGCTAGACTTGTTCCACTGGTGACACCCAGGGTGGGATTTTGTGAAAAGGGTTTTGATTGAGATTTCCAACACATGGACCTAGGTCCAAAGTAAGCATAAGTTGTTCTCATTTTGGATCAGTGGTTGATGTTGTCTAAGCAGATGAACTCAAAGTATTTTCAGTGTCTATTTATGCGGACAAAGTTTGATTTAATGTTTTTTCACAAACACTTTGATTTTTAGTTTCGTCACAAGACTGATAAGCAAGTGAATAATCGGCAATCTGAAGTGCTCATCGACAGCAAGTAAGAAATATATTTTTGGGGTAATTTTTAAGATTTCTGGAACCTCAAAACTGGTCTTGACATTTGGTGATTTACTCCTTTAATTAAATGTACATTTCTTTCTCCCTTCAACTCATTAAAAATATAAGTCCATTCTGTCTTTAGGATTCTTTGTTGTGTTCAGCAAATGACTATGCTTCCCTCTCAACTTTTACTTTAAATTCCTTTGGTATTTCTTTTGTGGAATGCACATATATTTTTGTCATTTTTCATTTCTAGAACTGGCACATGTTTGTATGTGGTAGATATTTCATAAATATTTGAGTTATTTAGTTTGCTGATTTCTGGGGAATGATGCTAGGAGACTTTGACACATTACTGTATCAAGTGATTGTGATATAAACTTTGTATTCACTTGATAGTTGAATTTAAAATGGATTATTTATCATAATGTAAATATTCATTGCTTTTAAATTCATCCATGAATAAAGAAATATTTACATGAATGATTATTAAATCTGAAATGCATTAAGACATGTATTTACACATAAACAATTGCAAAAACATCTCCAGAAAACTTAGCAGAGGTAAATTTCAAAAATTTATTCCATTGTTTCTTACTTTCTGTCCTGTTTTTTTTTTTTTAAAGATTTATTTATTTATGCATACAAGAGCTGGGGTGCAGGCCAGAGGTGCTGGGGGGCGCAGAGTTTGAGAGGATTCACCAGTGAGAGAGTGGAGAGCAGAACAGGCAGATTGACTGAAATATACTGCTGAGGGGAGCAATGGGTGGGACAGGAGAGATCTGCTTCCCCATGCGAGTCACCTCCCTGGCTGGGGTTCGAACTCGTGCTGCAGTGGCTGTGGATAGCTTCATAGTGCTGATGCTTAACCCCTTGCACCATTAGAGAGGCCCTCTTTGTCCTGTTTTTGCTGATAAACATATAGCAAATTAAATTTGTAAATAATGTACTTCAATCTGGCAGTCGGTAACAATGAATGATGATTTTGAATAATTTGAATATTGTGAAGAGTATAGTTTTTTTTTTAAAGGGAAATTTATAAAATGAATGAGTCATATGGGGGAGAAAATACCCAGAAATTATTAAGGTACTAAGAAGGGCTAGGTAGCCTAGACAATTGCTGGCAAGATTGAAGTAATCTCTTTCACAGAAAAATGCTTACTGATCACTGATAATCTAAAGAATACACAGTGTTTTCCTTTATTGACTTGTTTTAGAAAATGCTGTTGAATGCACAATGAAGAAAAATGATTTTGATCTAAAACTATAACTGTAAAGATGGAGACCCCAAAAGTGTGATCCTGTGTGATATGGATGAAACCATGTGGTTCATTTCCAACATTAGCAGTTTTTGAATTGTTACTATGGTGTTTAAAAGCATGGGTTTTGCACTCAGACTTAAGTGTGAATTTAATCTTGACCCTAAATAAGTGTGGTTTCAGGTAAGTTCTTGTTTTCTGTGTATTCCGTGAATCTGTAAACTAATGTGGTGTGTGGCTTTGAGCTCAAGCGCTGCATATCATGACTTTCTCAGGTCTTGCGGTTTGGACAGGGTATATAAGGCACTAATAAGATATGACTAGTTCCTCAAAGAATATGCAATAATCAGTCTCATTACTTTGAAGTGTAATCTCATACAAAGCATGTTTAAAACATGTACACTTGCGTGATGAATGTGAACTAATGGCCTACCATATCTTTTAACATCTCTCTAGTTACCATTTAAATTTTTTGGCAATATCTGGACAGTTACAGATATTGGGGCCTCTATCTGGAGGCCATGGCATTAAGCCAGTAAGTTAGATATTCAGAAACTGCATGGCTGTGTCCTAGCTATACGTGCTAGCAATCATTGTCATTATTATTAGAAGTGGTATCAGTGTTGTATTTTTTTATTTAGCTTTTTGTTGATTTCTTATGAGGGAGCATCTCTCTGTAATTCAATATGGTATGCTATATTGAAAAGTATTATAGCTGAACCTATAAATTGAAGAAAGAATCGTATATCACGGAGAATGGAGCATTCTTTAGGATCCAGGAAAAATCAGGCAAGATTTTCCATTTGTAAGATTTCCCAGTACTGATCATGTTTGCACCCTGTGAATGTAGCCTAGTGTCTGCTGAGCTTTCAAACTGACTAGAAAGAAGTATCCTTGCTGAACAGGCAATCTGCTGGAGGCTCTTAATCTGTCTAATTTTGCCCAATCCCATCACTACAAAATTGTGGTGTGTGTGTGTGTGTGTATATATATATATATATATATATATATATATGGAAATGAATAATACTCAACTATAAAAAAAGAGAAATTCTTTTTTTTTTTTTGGCTAGGCTATTACATACTCATCTGAAGTGTATGTGAATTTTATTTTCTCTAAAACCACATTACATGTTTTTATTATTACCAATATAATAGGTATGAAGTCCTTTTATTTTTAATTTTTACCTTAAATCACTTTAATTTTCCTAATGATCAATGATGATAAGCATCTTTTTATATGGTTGTTATTCTTTTTTTATTTTAACATTTATCATCTAAAATTTTTTTTTAAACAATATTTGCTTTCCCCCACCCCCTCAGGTGTATCCCCATAGAGTTTCCTTCCCCAAGGCACCCGTGCACCATCACCTCAGTCCCCTGTGCTCCTCCCTCGCTCCCTCTGATCCCTCTCCCTCCTCCTCCCCTGCAGGATGTCTCTGGTTTATAATTGCCTGATTTTGCTTTGTTGTGTTTTGTACTGTTATTATTTTTTTAATACTAATGTCTTTTTTGGTTCCCCTATATTCCTCTTATAAGTTAAAACATCTGATATTTTTCTTTTTCCTTCTGGCTTATTTCGCTGAGCATAATTCCATCTAGCTCCATCCACGTTGATGCGAATGGCATGAGTTTATTTTTTTTTGATTGCTGAATAATATTCCATGGTGTATATGTACCACATCTTCTTGATCCAGTCATCTATTTTTGGGCATTTGGATTGTTTCCAGGTTTTACCTATTGTAAATAGTGCTGCAAAAAACATAGGTGTACAAGTGCTCAAAAAGAGTAATTCTTACCATTTGTGGCAACTTGGATGGAACTGGAGGGAATTATGCTAAACAAAGTAAATCAGAAGGAGAAAGACAAATACGGATGGGTTCACTTATATGTGAAATCTAGAGAAACCAAGAAATAGGTCAGATAAAGCCAACCCAATAACAAACCCTAGAAATCTGACTATAGAACTAAGGATATTGGTGAGGGAGAGGTGAGGAAGGGGACAGAATAGTGTGGAGAGAGTGCAATGGACTATGTGAAAAACTATGGTTATTTTGGTGGTGGGTGTGGTTGGTAGCACCTGAAGGGGGAGATCCTATACCTTTAAATCATATATAACATTGTAAACCAGTGCTACCTTAATGAAAAAAAAAAAGAAAAAAATAAACAATACTAGCTAGGATGGTGGTTATTGCAGCATGTGTTCAGACTGAATTTTCACTTTTGGTATCTTGAGAAGTTGGAGAAATCAAATGTACTCAGACCTGAGAGAGCCCAGGGAGCACTTAAGTCCTTATTTGGAGTTGGCGGTTAGAGAGGAAGCTGCTGGGACTCTGTCGAGACCCCCACTGTCTTCTGTGCTCACCCCTAGCTCCTGGGTGTGTTGCTTCTAATGGCTTGCACCTGCCACTTTGCTCCGCAAATGGCCCTTGGGCTGCAAGAACCAGTGCCTGTTAGTGCTCAAGTATGAAGGAGCATTGCTGTCATCTCCCTTAACCCTTTCTCCTAGACATGCTTTCCTAATGAGCCACTTGCATGCAAATCCTCATCTCAGGATCTGCTGCAAGAGAACTTGATCTAAGACAGTAGTTAATCCATACTCAATCCCCTGCCACTGCCAATGGAAATATTTAGAAAGTGTTCAGGGGGTCTCTTCTTGGCAACTGGGGGTCATGATCCAGTTAGAGAGTTAAAAGCCTAGCGGGGGTCAGGGAGCCCAGGTATTACTGGGAGTGGGTATCACCTGGCATGGGCACCATCAGACATTTGTGGCATCTCTTGTGTGCTCCTGAAAGAAGATCTTGAACTTGTGATCGTCACAGGCTAGGAACCATCAGTGACTAGCCCTGGAGGGTGGGAGTCATGGTCGGCATTGGGGAGGAGGTTAGCTGAGCAGAAGAGGGTGGGATGAAAGTCAGGAAACCTGGGTACCTGTAAGTGATCACTGTGTTCCTTTGAGCAATGTACTTTTCTTATGGGCTTGGGACTCCCTTCTCCTGTGCTCAGAAGTGAGGGGGTGGGCAGTTATGTTCATATTTACTATATATATATGTAGTGTGTATATATATACTATGTATAGTAAATACATATATTTATACTATATATATTTACTATATGTAGTAAATATACATACTATATTATATATATTTTAATATATATGTTAATATTATATAATAATTTAATATATTTTAATATCATATAATAATATATATTTTAATATATATTATATATTATATATATAGCTTTCACTTTTTCTTTTATATATTTTTTACATCATTTTTCATTTTTGCACAATGTATGCATTTTCATCTTGGTTATAGTCCACATACAATTCCCACCCCTCCTTGTTTTGATCCTACTCCCTCTTCCCCCCCAATAGTGTGTCTCTGGTTTATAGTTGCTTGTTGATTTTGATTTTTACTTTATTATAATTAGTCTTTTTCCTGGTCCCTTATTTAGCATTTGTAAATTCCTGCTATGAGTTAGACCATCTGGTATTTTTCTTTTTCTTTCTGGCCTATTTTGCTGAGCATGATCCCTTCCAGCTCCATCCGTGTTGCTGCAAATTGCATGTGTTTATCTTTTTTGAATGCTGAGTAATATTCCATGGTGTATATGTACCACATCTTCTTGATCCAGTCATCTATTTTTGGGCATTTGGGTTGTTTCCAAAGCTTAGCTATTGTAAATAGTGCTGCTATAAACATAGGAATGCAGGTGTCCTTTTGAATTAATGATT